CCTCCTCCTTGACCTCTGGGGTGTCCCCGGTCCAGACAGCAGGCTCCTAGGGCCATGCGGGCTGTTTTCAGAGATCTGTCTCCCCAGGGCAAACTCATCCCAGGGGCAGCCCCCCCTACCCTTCTCTCTGCTCCTCCCCTCGGGGAGTCTCTTCAGAACCCTGAAGCCAGAAGGGGGTCCCAGACAGCTTCTGCTCTGGATGCCGCAGCACAAAACCCCGGCGGGCTGGGGAATGCAAGTGGCAGGCTGCCTTCTTGGCATGAGTGAAGGAAAGACGCAGCAAGAACAAAACACAAATCAATATTTCAATAAATTATCCTGCCACGGCAGCACGGTCACTTTGGCTGGGGGAGGGGGGCTGGGAACATAGGAGCCGTGTCTCCGGGAGGCCCTCATGGTGTGAGTCCAGGAAGGACACCGGGGAGGGGCTGTCTGCCTGGGGTCTTTATCCAGGGTTCTCCACCCAGCCAGCTGGGGGAGGTGTTTTGTTTTGTCCACATAACTTATTTAATTTGAGTCAACATTTACTGTGAGGTAACGTAAAATCCAGATTTAAAGATTGGCCTGAGAAGTCCAATCTGGCAATTCCGGCCTCTGTTCTTGACAGCGGTGGGCTGGCGCTGTGTCATCTCCCCTTCAGCGGTGTGCAGGCTCCTGGGTTTGCTACAGTCCTCGCCACTCCTTATTGGCCCCCACTTTCTTTATCATAATAGGGAAATATTGCCCTGGATCCTTACTCCTTCTAACCTGGAAAGATAAAGGAGAGACTTATTTTTCTTACAACCAACCTGACTCACTGGTTTGCATCACTTGCCTTGCCGGGTGGCATTTGGGTTTGCAACGCCCCCCAGCACTTCCCGCCAGCCCACCCCCTGGGCGCTGGTGCCTCTCTCCAGCCCACAGCCTGCCTGTTCCAGCCTGGCTCCTGCCTTTAGCTCCGTCCCCAACCCCATGGCCTAACTCCTGCTCTCTGGCCCTGACACGAGTGTCTCTTTCTGGCTGGTCTCCTGACTCCTCCTCAAAGATGTGGCCACTGCTCTTCTCCCGCTAGTGTGGGATGCACCAGCTGGACCCTGGAGACCAGCCCCCGGCTTTCATCTGCCAGCCGGTGGCCTTGACTGGGGTGCCCATGGTCCCCCAAGGAGGAAGAGCATTGCTCAGGACTCATAGCTGCAAGCAACACTAACACAACTCAAATCGCCTTTTACAAAGAGGAATTTCCTGACACACATCAATGCGACACATCTGTGGCGGGCAGCCTCTAAGATGGCCCCCAGAGGCCCTGCCTCCTGGTGTCACAGGCTGGCATAGTACCCCCTCTGGTGTGGGCCGGAACGAGACTTGGTTATAAACTGACTGTGGCTTCTGTCTCGAGTGTGTATTCTCTTGCTGTCCCTCAGGTCACTCTTGCTGGGGGAAGCCAGCTGCTGTGTGTGGAGAGGCCCACGTGGTGTGGCAAGGGGCCCTCAGCCCAGTAGCCATGAGGAACTGAATCCTGCTAGAAGCCACATGAGTGTGGGTGCTGGTCCCCACTATGGCAGCCTTCAGATGAGACCACAGCCCCTGTCTTCAGCTTGCCAGCAGTCTCATGAGAGACCTTGAGCCCGAGGCACCCAGCAAAGTTGCTTTCAGATTCCTGATCCACAGAAACCACGAGATAATAAATGTTTGGGTTCTTTTTAGACCGTAAAGTTTTGGAATAACTTGTAGCGATAGATAACAAACAGATCTGTGGGAGGCTGGCCTCAGGCTTGGGTGGACCAGGTGGTTGTGCAAGGACACCAGAACAACCTCCCTCCAGCTGGGGCCCTGCTCTGTTCTGTGTTGGCTTCTTCCTCAGCTGGGGTCTCCTCCCATGGCGGCAGGGGTGCCAGCAGCTCCAGGCTCATAGTCTCATACCGTTCCAACTTCTCGCCCGCTTCCATTGGTGTCCTTCCAGTACCCTCTCGGTACCAGGGAGATGCAGAGCTGGGATTGGCCAGGCCTGAGCCCTCCCATCCCTGAACCTGGGGTCAGACCCAGATTAACGGAGGGGATGTTTTACCAAAGGGGGACTGGGCTGCTGTTGTCAGGAGAGCACAGGCAAAAGAAACTGCAGCCCACAGGGCACCAGTCTGTTCCCTAGAATGGTTTGTCCCAACACATGGAACTTAGAACCCTGAGAGCAGGGGGGGCCATCACGGGAATACAGTAGTGCCCGCTTATCTACAATTTGGCTTTCTATTGCTTCCATTACCCACATAAACTGTGGTCTGAAAATATTAAATGGAGAATTCCAGGAACAAATACTTTGTAAGTTTTAAATTCTCCGCTGTTCTGTGCCTGGGCCGTGACTCACCCCTGTGTCCTGCGCATCCACGCCGTCTAAGCCACCTGCCTGTTAGTCACTTAGTGGCTTGGTGATCAGATGGGCTGTGGCGGTGTCATGGTGCTTGTGTTCAAGTTACCCTTATTTAGTCCAAAGCACTAGAGTAGTGATGCTGGCAACTGGGATGTGCCAAAGGGAAGCTGTAGACTGCTTCCTTCATGTGAAAAGGTGAAAGTTCTTGACTTAATAAAGGAAGAAAAAAAATCATATGCTGAGGTTGCTAAGATCTATGGTAACTTTTATTAGAGTGTATTGTTATAATTGTTCTATTTTATTATTAGTTATTGCTGTTAATCTCTTACTGTACCTAATTTATAAACTAAGCTTTATCATAGGTGTGTATGTAGAGGGAAAAGACAGAATATGTAGAATATGCTATCTGAGGTTTCAGGCATCCACTCGGGGTTGCGGAACATATCCCCCGCAGATAATGGGGCACGACCGTGATCTTCTGACATCTGGGGTGGGAGGAAACAGGGCCCCTTTCGCTGGAGTGGCCTGGCAATGCTGCTGAGCAAGTTGAACTCAAGGGAGCCTCTGGGGCCATCCTAGATGAAGTGGTCATTGGTGGCCTTTGTGGTCACCCTCTGATTTGGACTTGGGCTGGCAATCTTAAGCTCAGTGGGACACAACCACAAGGCCCCAAACTCTAGCACCAAGTGAGATTCACTGTGAGGGTCCCTTCCTTCTCATCCCACCTACAGCTCATGCCTAGAAAGGAGACCCTTTCACTTGATCCCTCCTTCAGAGCTGTGCCCTCTCAAGCTTTGCTGAAGGCAGCTACTGCCTGGCAGGGACTCAGCTGACCTGGGGGGTCTGGCTCGGATGTGATACAGATGCTGTTTTCTTCCTCAGCCCCTCCTGTACCAGCCAGGGTGGGAGGAGATGCACTGCAGAAACAAACAGGCGCCACGTCCCAGAGGCTTACAACAGCAAGGATTTATTTCCTGCTCACGCTGTCTGTTCAGTGGGAGTTGGCAGAGGACTCTGGTCTCATTGTCACTCAGGGCCTGGGTGACAGAGCAGCCATCATCTTGACATTGCTTCACATTCCAGAGAGGAGAGATCTCTGGAGGGCCTCACGGGGGGTAATTAAATGCTCTGACCTGGAAGAGACACGTCACTTTTGCTCACAGCTGGTTGGCCAGAGCTAGTCACACGCTACCCCTAATCATGAGGGGGGCAGGGGGTGCACCCCCCCTTCCCCTCCTCCAGCTTCATCTGGGCTGTCCATCTCTATGCCAGTGTCCAGCAGGTCCTGGTCCCCAGACCTCTCACTCCAGTCTGTGATGTACTTTGTTAGGACTCAGTACGTCTTGTTATAATGAGTAATCTCATCTCCCAGGAGTGCTTGGCTCTGTGCTTGGAATGGGAACTGGTCTGCCATCTTGAATGTCACTGACTTGGTTAACACACAAGACCCCTGGCAACGACCAGCCCTCCTTGGCCTTGAATTGCTCTTCCTTCTTCTGGAGTAGCCCGGATTCCTAACAATGCCTTATATCCACTCTCTGCTACTTATACACTCAGGGAGAAATATGGGGCTCTGCTTGATGAATGTGTTTATGCAAGAGAAGAAACAGAACACCTGCACACATCTATGCCAAGGGATGCATGTCTCTACTCTATGGACAGACGGGTCCTTGGGGAGGAAAAGAACATGCCCAGGACTCTTTGCTTGCAGGGAATTACTTTGGTGGTGGGAGTACGAGGTGAGAGCAGAAGCCAGTGGTATGAGAGAAAAGGGAAGTGGGCCACCTGTTGGAGCCTCGCTTTTGAGACAGTCTGGTGTATGTTTTACTTGGGGAGGCAGTTCAGCAGGCAGGGGGTTGAATATAGACTTTGGTTTCAGACTTCCTGGGTTCAGATCTCAACTCTGCTTCCTAGCTGTGCGACATGGGGCAAATGACTTGACTTCTTGCAGCCTCAGTTCCCCCTCAGGGTGGTTGTGAGGACTGAATGAGAGCGTGGATGCCGATGCCATGGTGCAGAGCGTGCCAGTGTGGCTGCAAGGTTTGCATCTCAGCACAAAATGGTGTGTGACTGCTCCTGAGGCCTCCTAGCCATGGCTCCTGTGGGAATTCACTCTCTGTTCCTGCTGTGTGTGGCTCCTTTGCTATATCTGCTGCAGCTTTCCCCCCCATTGCGTTGTTTTCTGTAAATACCTTCAAACGGGGAAAACACAGGGTTATCTCCCCCTTCTCTGGGCTCACACACTATGTTGGGATTTCTGTCTCCTGTCCCTGGACCCTGCCAGAACCATGAGCTCTTCAGGGTGACATCCACGTTGCTCTTGCCTCCTGTCCAGGGCCTGCACAGAATAGGTGCCTAATAGAATGCAAGGACCCCTGGAAACGGGGTGGGGTTAATGGACTATTTGAAGCCTTAGATGGCTTCAGAGATTTGCTTCCACATCTCACCAGAAACTGTGCAGTGACTTTGTGCGGAAACTCTTGCAGGTGTATGTGACTGGGAAATGGAGCCAAGTGGGAGGTGGGTCCTAAGATGGACTGGGCTCTGTGCCACCTGGACCAGGTCCCCAGTAGACAGGGTCTGTGAACACTATTGCCTGCTCAACTCCCATCTGCTCCACCAGACGCTAACCCTCTCCCGTCTTTCCTGCCCCCTGCAGTCCATGAGCCTCATTGAGATTGGGAACCCCTCTCAGAGCCTAGAGAATGTCTGCCGCTGGGCCTACCTCCAGCAGAAGCCAGACACAGGCCACGATGAGTACCACGATCACGCCATCTTCCTCACACGGCAGGACTTCGGGCCTTCGGGCATGCAAGGTGAGCCTGGCCCCCGCAGACGCACAGAGGAGGGAGCTGGGCATGAGCCCCTGGCCTGTGAGGGCCCCTAGCAACCTTGGCCCGGGAGGGAGTATGTCAGGGCAGAGAGGGGCTGTGGCCGCCTTGGCCGAGTGAAGGGCTGGGTAACTGCTAGGAACCTCCTGGCTCTCCAAAACCATCAGAGCCTGTGCCAGGCCCCCCAGGAAACTGCATCCCCCAGGGGGACAACGAAGATGAGGGGGTGAAATGAAGAGAGTTGGGGCTGCCAGCCCAGAGAATGATGGGATCTAAGGCTGGTTTCAGAGCTGTTCGCCTTTCATAGTTTTTAAAAAACAAATTCGAATAAGTTTTCAACCTTTAGAAGTTTAGAGATCTTACTTAAAAATTCAAACTAGGGGCCGGCCCAGTGGCACAGCAGATAAGTTCGCACATTCCGCTTCATTGGCCCAGGGTTTGCCGGTTTGGATCCCAGGTGCAGACATAGTACTGCTTGGCACACCATGCTGTGGCAGGTGTCCCACATATAAAGTAGAGGGAGATGGGCATGGATGTTATCTCAGGGCCAGTCTTCCTCAGCAAAAAGAGGAGGATTGGCAGCAGATGTTATCTCAGGGCTAATCTTCCTCAAAAAGGAAAAAAAAATTCAAACTATATAAAACTGACAGATCTGAAAGAAGAAATTGACAAGCCTACAATCATAGTTGAGAATTTTAACATACTCTTTTTAGTAACTGAGAGAACAACAGGTAAGAAGAACACTGGTAAAGATACAGAAGATTTGAATTAAGCAACGGGATCTAGTTGATGTATATGTAATACTACACCAAACAGCTGGAGGATACATACTCTTCACGCATATGACCTGAAAATAGAGCAAAGGAGACTGTGCTGGACCGTAGAGAGACCTCAACAAAATGCAAAAGATCGAAATCACACAGAATGTGTTCCCTGATCACACTGGGAAAGACGGAAAACTTGAAAAGTTATGAATGTTTGGAAATTAAACAATACTGTCATAAATAATCTGTGCTTCAAAGAAGAAATAGCAATAGAAATTAGAACAGATTTTTAAACTGAGTGATAATGACAATATGACATATCAAAACTTGTGGATGTGGCTAACATAATGATTAGATTGATGTTTATAGCCTTAAGAGTGCATTTATTAGGAAAAAAAGGCTAAAAGTCAATCATATAAATATCTATCTCAAGAAATTTGAAAAAGAACAGCAAACTAAACTCAACAAAAATAGGATAGAAATTATAAGAGTAAGAGTTAAAATGGAAAACAGTGCAGTAGAGAAAATCAACAAAACCAAAATTTACTTCTTTGAAAAACAGATTAAAATGGAAAAGCCTCCAGCAATAATAGTTTTAAAAAAGAAAGAAAATGCAAATTTACTAAAATCGGGAACATAAAAGGCACACCATTACAAATCCTATTTTGAAAAGATAATAAGATAATGAGAAGGTATTTTGTGTCAAAAAATTTGTCAATTTAGATGAAAAGTACAGATTCCTTGACCAAAGTCTGAGAAAAAATGGAAAATCTGAATAGTCTCATATCAGTTAAAGATATTGAATTTATAATTAAAAGCTTTCTTTCACAGTAAACTCCTGAACTTGATAGCTTTACCCAAGAATTCTTCCTAATTTTTAAAGAAGAATAATACCAATCATATATAAACTCCTGCAAAATGAAAAAAGAAGGAACATTTTTCCAACTAATTTTATGAGGCCTGCTAACATTGAACCCAAAATCTGAGAAGGACATTACAAGAACAAAATTATAGGCCAATCTCTCTCATGAGTCTAGATACAAAATCCCAAACAAAATATTAGCAAATCAAATCCAGTGCTATATAAAAAAGGTACTATATCACAGTGAATTTAAATTTATTCTAGGAGTGCAAGGTTGGTTTAACATTTGAAAATTAATCATTGAAATTCACCACATTAGCAGAATAAAGAAGAAAAATTTATATAATCATCTCAAAATATCCAGAAAAAATATTTGACAAAAATCAAGATCCATTTATGATCACGTCTTATTGAACTATGAATAGGAGAACTTTATTAATGTGGTAACGGATATTTACCCCCCAGAAAACTATGACAAACATCATATATAATGGTGAAATGTTGAAAGCATTTCCTCTAGACTGAAAATGGGTCAAGAATGCCCCCATCACCACTTCTCGTCAACATTGCTGTGGAGGTCCCAGCCAGTGAAATAAGACAAGAAAAAATAAAAATATAAGAATCAGAAAGTAAAAAATCAAACTCCCATTTGAAGATGATATGCTTATGTACATAGAAAATTCAAAAGAATCTACAAATAAATCATTAGAATTATTAGGTATTTGCTGGATATAATGTCAATATGCAAAAACCAATTGAATTTCTATATTCTAACAACAAATTAAATTTTAAAAACTAGTACCAGTTACAATAGAATAAAAAACAGCAAATACCTAGGAATAAGTCTAACGAAATATATCCAAGACCCAGACTAGAAAACTGTAAGACATGTTTACAGAAACTGTAAAAGGCTCAACCAATGAAGGACTCGGCCATGCTGATGGCAAGGGAGTCTCCCTCCTGCACACTGAGACAGCAGTGTTCTCCAAGTGGACGTGCAGAGCCAATGCAAAGCACTCTCCAGTGCTCCCCAGGGCACCCCCGTGCAAGCACAGCTCCGGCACAGTAGTCTGAGGATATTGACAAATTGATTCTAATGTTTGTATGGAAGTGCAGTGGGTCAAGAATAACCAAGAACAATGGAAGAAGATGATCAAAGTATTCAATACTTATAAAAATATGATAGGTGAAGAGTATAATTTTGATGCAAGGATTGACAAATGTATCTATATCATAGGAACAGAATGCAGAGTCCAGAACTGAACCTCTGCACGAACACTTGATTTCTTGCAGAGTGGAGGGGAAAGATGGTTTTTTAACCATGGTGTTGGGGCCACTGAGTATCCAAATTGGTGGAAAAAATGAAGCCTGACACTCCTACTTTACTCTATATACACATCATATTTGTGCATGTTTTGGATCTTAACTTAGCGGATTTTAGATCTAGCTTTGAAAAACAAAATAATAAAACTTAGGAAAAATAATATAGGAGAATATCTCCATATTCTTGGAGCAAGAGAAGATTTCTTTTAAAAAAGAGATAAAAATCACTAACCACAATGGAAAAGATGAATAGTACTACATTAATACTAAAAACTTTTGTTCATTAAAGGCACCATTAATCCATTGGGGAAAAATATTCATAATACATGTATCTAATAAAGAACGGATATCTAAAATATATGAACTCTGACAAGTCAATAATAGTTAGTAATAAGAAAACAAGCCAGTAGATTGATGGGCAAGAGACTTTATCAGGTCTTAACAGAGCATAAATGACTGATGAATGTATGAACAGGAGCTCAACCCAGCAGACATTAGGGAAATGCCATGAAACCCACAATGAGATACCAAGACACACCTAATAGAATGGCTAAAATGTAAAAAGACTGGAAATGGTGAGGATGGGGCTATGTTATTCTCATGCTCTGCTGGCAGGACTATAAATTGGTACAAGTACTTTGGCCAACTGTTTGGCAGTATCTCTTAAAGTCGAACATACACCTACCTGGCAGCCACACTCCTAGACAGTCACCTGCCACATGCAGGCACCCGTGCACCCAAAGATTGTGCAGGAGCGTTCGTGGCAGCATCGTGTGCAATCACTCCTGAACAGGGAACAACTTCAGTCCGTCAGCAGGAGAGTGGATAAAGAAATGTGATATGTTCCTACAGCAGTGAAAAGGTCTAGAACCACACGCCACCCCACGGATGGGTCTCACACGTCGAGGGCTGAGTGAAAAAAGCCAGACAGAGAAGAATATATACTTAGGATTCCATTTATCTCAACTTTGAACGTGGGCAAAACTAATCTGTGGTGTTAAAGTCAAGAGGGTGGAGCGGAGGCAGGGAGTCACGGTTGGAAGCGGCAAGAAGGGGCTTCTGCAGCACTGATGTGGTTTATTTCTTGACTGGGCGGGTGGCTTCCCAGGTGTGATCACCTTGTGGTAATTCACTTGTTGTATCCTGACTTGTGCACTTTCATGGATGTGTATTATACTTCCAAAGAAAGAGCTTTAAAAAACGATATAAAAATATGGATCCACTCAGAGGAGTGGACCCATTTCACCCACCCTATCCTCTACAGCCAGTCATTTTTATTAGTCTCTGGTTGATCATTCCAGTGACCCTTTTTGTAAAAGTAAGTATATTTGTATGAAATATATGCTCATTCCTTCCACCAGTTTCTTCTATGAATTGTCATATGCACTGCTCTGCATCTTACTCCACTCTCTCAACCTTCACTTTTCTCTGCTGGCTGCTCGCCTATATTTGTATAACACAGAGCTAAGATCAGTTTCTGTTGCTGTGGCACCGTAGTTGCCCTCTTTACCATGCTGATCGTCACCACAAGGCGGCGCGGGTGGGCGCCGAGACCATGACTCCCACCCCACTGAGCAAAGAGTGAGGCTCCCAGTTGGTGTTAGTGTCTGCTTGCTCCCCTTCAAGCCACCTTTCCAGCAGTGCAGCCCTCTGCGTGTTGTCCCAGCGAGAGCTCTAACCCGAGCAGAACTGCTCCTGGGGACACGCAACTTTCATAGTAAGTGACCTCATCCTTCATTGAAAACTGTGAAAAGACAGCCAACGATTACCAGACGTTAAAAAAAAAAAAAACTTATAGAATAAAAAAGATGCAAAACAAAATTGGAAAACTGACTCCAAAGAAAACAGAGATAATTTAGAGAATAGAAAAGAACTTTTTATAAACTAATATTCCCAGACTGTTTGAGAAATACTTCTATAACTAGAAAACATTGCTAAGAAGAATTAGAGAACAGCAAAGGGTTTTTATGAAATTAAAGATGTGAGGGGTAAAATAGAAAATTCAAAAGCTAAAATAAAATGTCCAGGGCATCCAAAAATATTAAAATATGAGACAAAAGTTAGGAGACAGAGAGGCTTAGCACAGAAGGGGCAATATCTATCTAATAAGATTTCCAGAGAGAGAGAACAACAAAACTGAATAGGAGGGAAGGTTACAAATAAGAAAATAAAGATACTTTGTCAGATCTTCGGGTGGTAAAGGCTGGCGTAGCCCTCCGAGGCATGAAGGAGAAGGGCCCGCCCTGAGGCCAGTGTCCACACCCCGGCCTCGGTGCAGAGGACATGGCAGATCTCCAAGTTTCGCTCTGGCGCACTGATTCAAGCACAATCATCTCAAAATCTGCAGAGCGAATAAAACAAAAGATTCAGATATTCCTGTTTATTCCCAGGGAAAAAGACACTCGTTAGATACTGTGCGTCTACAGACAGGTCTAAACCCAGCACCCCAGGGTCACACTGCTCAACTTTTCTCTTTGAACAGATTGCCTCAGCATCCACTGGTGGGGCTTGAGAGGGGTGAGGCTGCTCAGGGTCCCAGGAGTCGCGGCTCCCCGCTGCGGGGCCTCCAGGACCCAGGTGTCCCAGCTCTGTGTCACGCCCAGCTGTGTACGCACGTCTTTATCGCGTCCAGGCGCTGGTGGCAGGCCCCCTTCTCTGGTTTTCCTCAGTTTTAGGTGGGGTCTGGGTGTCATGCCCACCCCCACCCTCCATGTCCCCGACTGTGGGAAGGCTGCCCTGGGGACATCTGAAGAACCCTGTGATGAGGCTCAGCCGAGCCCCGGGGAGCGCTGTTGCTCACCCCGCCACCTGCAGGCCTTCTCACCCTGCTTGGACTGTTCTGGCTCCTTCCTCAGCCCTGCCCCTGTTCCCTGTCAGCCTCCATTTTCCAGCTACTCCCTTGGGCCACACAATGTGACTGGGCCGGCAAAACCCACCGCATCTCCTCACTTTTAGTTGTGAATCCAGTGGCTCTTCAGAAGCCAGTTGCCAGGGAGGGGGTGACAGGAGGGTCATTGGGCATCTTGTGTCAGAGGGATGCGGCCTGCTGAACCACCCCTTCCCACTCCCCCTTCCCACCTCTGCTTCTGGGGACACCGTCCTAGGTTCTCGGGTCCTTCCTGAGGAGAAGCAGGAATGTGGCTCAGAATCTTCTTGGCTGGAGCTCAGAGTTTGCCGGCTAAGAGCTCCTTGGGCCTTGTCGTCTTGGGCTGGCCTGCCCCCAGTCCCCTCGGCTGGTCCACTCTGCGTGGACGCAGCAGGGCAGTGTGGCATGTTGGCTCTCTGCGCTCAGCTCTGCCTTTGGACAGCTTCGGGGCCAGCCCTCACTGCAGCCTTCTGTGTGACACAGAAATGGGTCTAGCTACGGTCTCACAGGGAAACCCCAAGGGACTCAGGGAAGGCCCTCCTGAAGGGGTGGGCTCCCGGGTGTGATGCCAGGCTGATGAGGGGCCAGGGCACCCACAGGAGAGGGAGGAGGTATGGAGGCAGCATGCTGCCCAGGGGCCTGAAGGTCACTCAGTGAAGGGGGACGTGGTGCGTGGCGTGGAAGAGGATGGCAGGCGGGCGGCTGCCAGGTGGCAGAAAGTCCTAGCAGGTGAGATCTGGATTTGGGAAACTGATGCCAGCTGCAGTGTGGACACTGATAGGCAGAGCTGAGGCCTGCTGCCTGGGCAATGTCCCCTGAGCTGTGCCAGCCGGGGGCAATTGACTCTACTTGTTTGCTTGGGGATGGTGGGGGGCATTTGGCCAGGGTCCCCTGAGTTGGGCTTTGGTGGGGCCTGGAGCCACCCCTGGCAGGGCTCTGGGCCTGGAGCTAGAGCTGCCCTTTGTCTCCTCCCAGGCTATGCTCCTGTCACTGGGATGTGCCACCCCGTCCGCAGCTGTACCCTAAACCACGAGGATGGCTTCTCCTCGGCCTTCGTGGTGGCCCACGAGACTGGCCATGTGTAAGTGGCCTTGCTGTCTTTGTTGTCTGAGGAAGGTCAGGGCTCAGTGGGGCCCCACTTCTCCTCTGTGCCCTGAGAGGGACATGCTCTGTATGAAAATGGGAGACGCTGTCCTGTCCTCCTAGCACTGAACAGGGCAGCCCTCCGCCCTCTTTCTGCCGAGGGAACAAATCACAGGGAGAAAGTTCCAGAGGGCTGAGCAGGTACTGGGGCCTTCCATACGTATGCCACTCAAGCCCCTGGGTGGGAGCTCCTTACTGCATTTACAGATGAGTAGCTGAGGCTCTGAGGGAGGCACGCCCAGGATAAGAGAGCCGGAGGTGGGGAAGCCACGACTCTGCCCGGTGCGCACCACCCAGGCACCACCTGAATCTTAGGCCTGGACAACCTTTGTGAGAAACCTCGCAGGGCCGCTGGGTCTGTGTGGAGAGGGCAGCCAGAGACCTGGGGCAGCACCCCACCTTAGGGACAGAATACCGAGGGGGCCACCGCTGGACACCATCTTCCCAGAGTGCCCCCCGCTTAAGAATCTGGCTGGTGGAAAAGCCGGACCACCTGGCTCCACGTGGACCAGAACAGCTAAGGTCGAGGGAAGCCAGCTCGGGGAGGTTGGGGTGCCCTCCCAGCGTGTGGGTAGGGTGGAGCCGACAGGTCAGTGGGCCTAGGTGAGGGTCCAGTGAGGCTGCTCTGGCTCCCCACACAGGCTTGGCATGGAGCATGACGGGCAGGGCAACCGCTGTGGCGACGAGGTGCGGTTGGGAAGCATCATGGCGCCCCTGGTGCAGGCAGCCTTCCACCGCTTCCACTGGTCCCGCTGCAGCCAGCAGGAGCTGAGCCGCTACCTGCAGTGAGTACCACCCCCATCCCCTGAGGACGACCCCGCAGCCTGGGGCTCAGCTCGGGGAGGTGCGTGTCCCTGCTGTGCCTGGGCCATGCCTGAGCCCTCATACCTCCATTCTTCCAGCCTGAGGCCCAGGGGAGGGAGAGGGAGAGAGCAGCGCAGGTCGGGGTGTGTGTGGGGGGGAGAGTCTGTTGTTGGGGGGCCCAGCCTTGAGCAGGAAGTGGTCATGGCAGCCTCACCTTTAATGAATGTCTAGGGTCCCGGAATCTAGGCAAACCAGGTCCTGGGTAGCTTACTGAGAAAAAGAGATGCTGTTGAAACTGAGGCAGCACAGCTGAGAGCTGGGGTGTGCAGGCAAGGCCCTCCACCGCGGCTCCAGTAGGGGCCTCAGCTGCCTCGTGGGCTGGATGGCCCATGTGTCCCTTCACAGCTCCTATGACTGCCTGCGAGACGACCCCTTTGCCCATGACTGGCCGGTGCTGCCCCAGCTGCCCGGGCTGCACTACTCCATGAACGAGCAGTGCCGCTTCGACTTTGGCCTGGGCTACATGATGTGCACTGCGGTGAGTGCAGGAGTCACAGGAGCCGGCACCTGCAGGGCTGGGGGGAGGGTGGGGCCTGGGCTGCTTGATGTGCACCGCGGTGGGTGCAGGAGCGGGCACCTGCAGGGCTGGGGAGGGGAGCCTGCCCTGGGCCTGGCTGGCTTCCTCGGAGGTGGCTGGAGTTGGGGCAGCTCCTGGGGACAGGTGGCACCCCACGAGCGTCCCTGCATTTGGAAGTGGCCTGGCAAGCTGCTGGTGCTCTCTTCCAGTTCCGGACCTTCGACCCCTGCAAGCAGCTGTGGTGCAGCCACCCTGATAACCCTTACTTTTGCAAGACCAAGAAGGGGCCTCCCCTGGACGGGACCATGTGTGCACCTGGCAAGGTGAGTGAGGCTGACAGCAGGCACCGCAACACACACAGATCTCTAGGGACAAGCCCAGCCCTGCCCGCGAGGCAGGGCGGGGGGCCTTCTCGGGGTGACCCCTGCCTTCTTTCTAATAATCCCGTACTTGCCACTCCAGAGCTCCCCCACCCCCTTCCCATGCACGATTTCCTTTGTCGGAGCAAACCTGGTGTCTCAGAGCTCCTCTTAGTGCTTCGAGCGCCCCCTCAGGAATCCCCTCCTCTGAGGAGCAGTTTTGGGGTTCTGGCAACCTTCGTCCCCCCTGCACACTGTGGGTCACCTCCCCTTGAGGCCAGCATTGGGGTCTGGTGGCCACTGGGTCCTCAGGCCCAGCATCAGGCTTATCCTCTCCATCCCTGCGCCTCAGTGTTTGCCCCCTGGTGGGCAGACTTGTCCCTCGAGGTCGCTGGACGGCTGCCCACTAGCCTTCTGGTCACCCCAGGCTCACTTCCCAACTTGTGGCAGCTCAGCCAAAAGGGCCTTCTCCTTCCCCAGCCTTCCAGCTCCACCTCCGGGCCTGATTCTCGTTGGTTCAGATGAGATCACACGCCCACTCGGCAGCCAATCACTTGCTAGGGGGCGGGCTTATGCAGATAAGCCTAAACCTGGGTCTCGCTCAGAGGGCTCCGCCCCTGGAAGCCGCGTAGACCGGGCGGCGCGTGGGGCGGCGCGTGGGGCGGCGCGTGGGGCGGCGCGTGGGGCGGCGCGTGGGGCGGCGCGTGGGGCGGCGCGTGGGGCGGCGCGTGGGGCGGCGCGTGGGGCGGCGCGTGGGGCGGCGCGTGGGGCGGCGAGGACTCCGGTCTGGAACTCCAACGGCAGGCCCAGAAAGACCCCCGCATCGCCTGAGGTCCCCCGCACTGGTCTTAAACTTTGCTTCATTTTAGTCGCTGGCGGAGCTTCTTAAAGACTCAGGTTCCCAGTCCCCTGAAGATTTTGGTTTGGAACAAGCATCTGGAATCATTTTTTTATTTTTAATGTTTAAATTATAGTAAAATTCACATAATGTAAAATTCACCGTTTTAGCCACTTTGATGTGTACAATTAAGTGGCTTTTGGTACATTCACAATGTGCAAACCATCACCACTATCTAGTTCTAGAACTTTTTCATCACCCCAAAAGGAGGCCCCATTGAGCAGTGACTTCCCATTCCCCTCCTCTCTCCAGCCCTGCAGCCACTAACAGGCCTTCAGTCTCTATGGATTTGCCTGTTCTGGAATTTCATATGAATGGCATCGTACGATTTGCGTCGTTTTATGACTGGCTTCTTTCACTTAGTGTAACGTCTTCACGGTTCATTCGTGGTGTAGCATGTGTCAGAATTTCCTTCCTTTATAAGGCTGAATAATATTCCACCATATGGATAGACTGCATTTTGTTTATCTGTTTCTCCATCGATGGATATTTGGGTTTTTTCCACCTTCTGGTATTTGTGAATAGTGCTGCTATGAATATTTGTGTGTATTTTTTTGTTTGAAGGCCTGGGAATTGGTATTTTTAGGGGTGCCCCAGCTGATTCAGCTGTGCCCCCAGACTTAACGAACTGTTACCAGTCAGAGGTGGGGGGTGTTGCTAATACGCCAGGGACCTGGTGAAGCCAGAACTGATCACATAGCCCTCCTCCCCGCAGGAGCTGGATGGAGGGAACAGGGCCTGGAAGCATTTGCTGTAACTCCAATGGGGAGCTCAGGAATTGCGGAGCTGGAGGGTGAGACTGTCTCAGTGTGCCTTCCTACTGCAGTCCACCCCTCCCATCCACTTCCTCCCAGTCCACCCTGGGCAGAGAGAAGGTGGACGCAGTGGGAGGCAAACCTGCACAGGTGTGCTCGTCCAGAGGTGTGTGGCTGGCCTTCGTCCCACAGGAACCCTGGCCACTGGGAGAAGCAGGCCAAAGAACGCCTGCACCCCCAGCTGACTGATGGGGCTGGTCTGCTGAAGGAGGCGGGCAGATGTAGCCAGAGTGCCTCCTTCTAACAGAAACCACTGGCCTGGCCACAGCCCTTCACTCTTTTTTGGTGGTGGGACCCTTTGTTCCTTCAGCCCAGTAAATAAAGTCACCATTTTATGTATTAAAAACAGCATTGTGCTGATTGAGGGCTGGAGCTGCGGCTGGCTCAGCCTGCCCTGGGTCACAAAAGTGTAGGTTAGAAGCTGACCCAGATCAGCATTCTCGGGGTAGGGGGTGTGGGGGCAAAGGGAAAGAGGGTCTCCTGGGGCCTATCAGAATCTTCTGCTGGTGTGCGTTTGCATGGTTCGATATCTTACTTATTATTGCAGTGTAATTTTATAAATAAATAAATAAAGGAGAACAATCATCCTTTATTTACCCCTTTCCTGCAAGAAAAATCACAGAGGCAAGGAGAAAGGGGAGTGAGGAGGAAGTAGGGGGAGGTCTGGCCAGGTTAGAGAAATATCAGGGCACCAGATGCAGCATCTCAGGGTCCGGGCTGTGCCCAGCTCCATGCTCAGGCCCTGGCCACAGCCGCCCTGGCCACAGCCACCCTGCCCGGGCTCCTCACTGTCCACACTCTACAGAGGGTCATCCCAAGCACGCTCTCCCCTCTTGGCCTCCACTGCCGCATCGTACCCCTGCTCACTCATAGTTTTGTGACTCCGCCATTTCCCACAGATGGAGCAATCTGTATCTATATTCTGTGTGCTGAGATGACCTGGAGAGAAAGCAGAAAGCACAGAGGAGCAGCTGCCCTCCGCCCTGTAGTTCCACTGTCCGCCGAGGGTGGCGCTGTGGGGCCGGGTAGGCGTCGGCGGCACGGAGGATGGGGCTGGCAAGAGCGAGGGCCGCGGAATCAAGGGTTTCGGGCAGGCAGGTCTGGCTGAGAGAGGAGAGATGAGCATGTTGCCCTTGGGTGAACCTGGGGCTGAGGCTGAGGAGGCTCCACGTCACTCAGCTCCATAGTCGTTCATTCATTCATTCATTGCACGTGTCAGGTCCACTCCGCTTCTCTCGGACCTCGCTGTCTGGGGGGTCGACCAGGAGCGTGCAGAGGCAGCGGTGACACGGTGGGGAGGAGAGGGATGGGGTGTGGCCTGTTAGGGAGCTCAGAGAGGCTTCCTGGTCAGTCACCTGGGAGAAGGGTGGACAAAAGTGGGACCAGCATTCCAGGCTGGAATACCACGCTGGGCAGAGCAAGGCGAGGAGGGCTGGGGAGCGTAGAGGAGACGAGCATGATGTTTGAAGACTAGTGTGTTAACAGAACATTTGAGGCATGGTAAAGCCAGCAGATCAGGAGATGATTGCCATTGAGGAGATAGCTGTTCCTTATGCATCCCAACAGGAGGGGCCACACCAGGAAGCACCGTGTGAGTCAGGAGGCAGGGGGAGGCGGGGAGGTGTAGTTTCCACAGAAAGGACCAGAGGAGGCAGGGCAAGCAGGCTTAGGAATAATTTGAATAACTTCAGGGGACTCTAGGGCGTCGGAGCTGCCTGGGGTGATTAGGGCAAGTGGCTGGAGCGCGAGAGCCCCATAGAAGAGGTGGTTGGGGGTGCGCTCTGGACTCAGTGCTTTGCATTTGAAAAGCACGCTCCCTAGTGAGTGGTTCACTATCTCTGGGAATTGGTGAACCCTGGGAGGGGCAGTCCCTCCAGGGTCAGCGGGCTCCAGATGTATCAGAATACAGGAAACAAATGACATGGTTAACACACCTGGCTCCCCAGGATGCTGGAGAGATGGTGGGAGAGAGACAAGGACGGACTGAACTAAAGATAGCCCTTCCTGTGCTTGGGCCATGTGCTGCCCTGTCCAGGGTGCTGGAGGCGTTGTCAGCTCTGCTCTCAGACAGCCATGCCCTGTGGCCACATAGCTTGTGCCCAAGACACCCCAGAGGCAGGGTCAGGCCAAGCACAGATGGTCCTCCCACATGCCTCTGCCCCTCAGGCCGGGCTGTTGGGCTGACCTTGCCCTCCCTGTGTGAGCCAGGGTCACTGTGGCGGGCGGAGTGCAGGCCCAGCTGGGTCAGGGATGTCTCCTGCCTCAGTGTATCTTGGCAGGAAAGAGTCCTCATGTGCTCTCACATTCACATGCACATCCCTCACATTCACATCTTGGGGCAGCAACGCCCACCCTAAGTTTTCAGAAACTCCTTAGAAGGGCTGTTTTAGAGATAGATGCCCAGTGCACAGACCCAGTGACGCCTCTGTGTCAGAACCCACGCTTCCCTGCATAGTTGAGAACTGGCAGGCAGGCAGAGTGACAGGGCCAGCCCAAGGTCTGGGTACAGGAGTTTAAGCCCAGGGTCTCTCCTTCCTCATGGTGTGACCTTCAGCCATCCTTTCCCCCTCTGGCAAGTCACCTAAGAGTCCACATCACTTATCTTCACATCCTGGCCCAGGGTACCTGCTCGGGACTTGCTGGTGGGTGGAGGACAGAAACCCAGGACCACAGCCGTTCAGAAATGCTAAACAAGCATTTCCTAAAAAGAACAGTCTGCCTTTCAGGCTGTCAGACCGACCTGGCAGTGTCCCAGCCTGGGGACAGCAAGAGCCAATGACTAGTCAGGTTGGGGACAACTCTAAAGGCTGGGCCAGCCAGAGCTCTGAGCGGGATCAACGGAGCCCCACGTTGTGGCCGCATCACTGTTCAATGCCTCACTCTCCCCAGAGGCGTTGATCCAAGAGCGCTCCCCAGGAAAATGCCTGCACTCAACCTCTCTGCCGCTGAGTGCAATTTCAGGGAGCCGTGCTCCCTCTCCAGGCCCGAGGTGCTCCCACGCGTCCTCCTGGTTCTGTCTCTCAAGCAAGCCCTTCCTTGCCCCCCTGCTTTGTGCACATCTCTGCTTGGGAGCCCGCCTCGCCTCTTCCTTCCTAACACAGGCCTCTCCCCCCTCCTGATCCACGCGCGCTCCAGGCCTGCCTTTGCCCCAGCCTGAGCCCGCACGAGCCACTGCAGAGGCTGCTGCTCTCTGCATTCTCCTTCCCAGGCTGCACTGTTTCAGTAAATTTTGTTTGCCCTGCAGTGTGCAGCTGCTGATGTTGCCCCTGAGAAGGTTGCAACCTTGGGCAAGTGCACAGCCACTCTGGCCTCACAGCCCCCGACCCCCCACACGGCCCTAGGACAGTGGAATTAGCCAGGCTCTCTTTGTCTCTTTCTCTGATCTTCCTACTAAGCTTCTGGCTGTTCTGTTGAATGTTGGTATCACAATCAATTAGTTTTCACAAGCTGCTGACTGATTGCTGTGTTGTTTTTGATAATGCCCTGGGGTACAACTTATCTACAGTATGACACTGGTTAAATTCTAGACCCTTCACCGGGGTAGGGTGTTGCCAGTCTTTGAGGCTTGCTCAGAGTCCAGGAGGGATCTTAGCTGCCTTTTCCCTGGTTCTCTTTGTTACACTTGTGGTGGGTTTGCCATTTTACTTGTGGCTACTAATATCCTAGAGCTACTGGCCTCCTCTCTATTGCTCACTACCAAGATTTCTGTTGTTTCTGATAGTGCTAAGGGCATGAACTTCCCAAGCTCTGTTCCAAATAAAGTTGGTCCCATTAGGGAGAGCCATGGCGCTCTCTGTTCTGCCTTTTCCTCTGGGAAGACCGCTGTGCCACTGCACTGGAGGCAGGAGCAGGGTGGCCTGCTTTGCCCAGGGTGACACTCCTGGTTTACAAGTCGGTCACTGATTGGGGATGGCAGCCCCTAGTCTTCTTGATTTCCCCTTTCAGCATGAATCCTCTGCCCTACGAGCAAGCTGGGGAAGGGACTATCAGGGACCAGTATACCTGGCCTGCCACCCCTGGGAGTGGGGACTGGGTGGGTGAAGAGAGCCCCAGGCCTCCAGTCTCCCCTACCCGGAATAGACTTTCTGCAACACGTATTTGGGAGGTATGGGAGATGCCAGTGGCTTGCCTTCCCCAGGGTGAAACCACAGCCCCAGACTGGGAGTGGGGAAGACAGAGAGCTCTGTCGTCTAGGCAGTAAAGCTTCTGTCACGCTGAGCTGGGGAAAGGGTGGGAGAGGGTTGTGGCTCAAATGCCATAGACTTTCACTGTTCCTACCAAGATTTAGTAGATTTTCTTGAGTAAGTTTTTCTCCATTTCTTATATTGACCTTAGGATAATTTTCAGATGCTTTAAATGGTGGTTTTTTAAAAATAATTTTCACCAGTTAAATGGTTGTTTAACTGAGGAGAGAGTTCACCAAGCTCCTTGCAGCTCCATTCTAGAAGTTTCCGTTTACTGCCTGTTTTTGTAGATAAAGTTTATTGGAACACAGCCATATCCATTCATTTACATGTTGTCTGGGGCCAGCCGCTTTCATGCTCCGATGGCAGTGGAGTACTTGCAACAGAGATCGTGTAGCCTGCAAAGTCCAAAATAGGTACTCTCTGGCCCTTATAGGGAAAGCTTGCTGAGGAATGCCTGCGTTATCCTTCTCTTCCTTCTCTGGAAAACAATACCACAAAGTTATTGTCACACGAAGAGGTCATGAAAGAGTATCCCGTTAGAACTGCAGAAAAGTTGTGTCAGTCAATCGATTTGAAAAAAATCACTGTCCTCTGTTTTTGGTTGTTTGCGATATTGGTCAGTTTTTAATTTTTTGTGATGTATTTTTTATTCTAAATCAACATTCCATTTTATACCTAATTTGTATTTTTAATTTTGCAATTTTCTCCTTCAAGTGGGCCCTAAATTGTCTAAGCTTCCTCCCCGTGGGAGGAAGGGGCAGTGTGCTCAGACTCAAGCTGGAGAATTGTGTTCTGCACCCCAGCGTTCTACTGACTGTATTCGTGAATTTTTACCATGTCAGCATATCACCTGTCCTTCATTTCCATATTTCCTTTAAATCGCCTTTTTTACTTAAACAAGTAGATCTTGCATGTCTCTGAAGTCACTGGCTTGATGTGCCACCTCCATCTTTATGAATGTCCCCTGTGGGCACACTGTCTCCACCTGGAGACAGGTGTGGGGCAGCATGTGGCCGGGGGGACAGAGGAGGCTGGACAAGGTGCCAAGGACGGTGGGAGGCCCAGGCGGTGGTTGGGGGCAGCTGGGTGGGCCAACACCTCCCTGGGCCTCCTGACAGGGCTCTGAGCATCTGGGGGCATCTAGGGCCAGCTTGGCTCGTGCCTCCAGAGCCAGGCGGTCGTCACAAGCACTGCAGGCTGAGGGGGTGGGGAGAATGCAAGCGGTGGGTCAGGGAGTAACCGGCTGTCTTTCAGCACTGCTTTAAAGGACACTGCATCTGGCTGACGCCTGACATCCTCAAACGGGACGGCAACTGGGGTGCCTGGAGTCCATTTGGCTCCTGCTCACGCACCTGCGGCACAGGTGTGAAGTTCAGGACCCGCCAATGCGACAACCCACAGTGAGTTGGCCCTGATATTTCCCAAATTTCCCAGGTGGGAGCTGCAGTCCCTGAGGCCCCTCACTAGCCCCCTGTCCTGCAGGGCCCCTCCGGCCACACATTGGTCCTGGAGAGGTTGCGAGGGCAGACAGCCCCGGCCCCTCTTCACCCTCCCTGGGAGGAAGCTGAGACTCAGAGAAGGGAGGGCTCAGGCTCCCTGGCCACATGGCCTGCAGAGGGCTGAGCTAGCCCTGGAGACCTGGAAACCTGGCCTCCTGACCCCTGGCCTGGGGCTGTCGCCCTACCTGGCCAGTGCCCTACTCTAAACACTGCCTCGCTCTGCCCTGCTTGGTTGAGGGTGCCAAGGATAGAAGAGGGAACAGAGACCAGGAATTGGGGACAAGGCAGGGGGCTTTCTGGGGCCCCAGGACACTGAGCAGGGGAACAGCTGTTCCCATCAGGCAAGGGGCAGGAGCAGTGACATGCCACCTGTGCCCAGCTGCCTAGGAGAGAGACAGCCTGGAGAGGCTGCCTCCATGCCCACCAGACTCCCCCTACCCACACTCCCTGTCCTGCCTCCAGTGCAGGAACCAGGGCCTATGCTGTGCTGTCCTTCCCGAAAACCCCTCATTCCCCCACTGCTCTGCCCAGCACCACTTTCATATTCATGCCGGGGCCACTCCTGCCTGAACCCTTGGCCTTGGCCTTGCCTGGTTCAGTGCCCATGGCGGGTGGGGGAGGAACCAGAGGGCCCAAGCCCTGGGCACCTGCAGCCCAGGTGACTCAGTTAGCACCCTGGGCCTCAGGCAGCCTGCCCTGTGGGGTTGTTGTGGGTACACGTACAGTGATGTGAACAGGGCCTGGTGTGCAGGAAGAATCCCCCAGACGGCAGCTCGCGCTGCTCTTCCACCTGCCCAGAAGAGGCCCCTCAGCTATTGGGAGACATGTGGCCTTTTTCTTTCTTTGGGCTGTCTAGTGTTTTAAAGATTTTGATGTACATGAAAATTGATTTACATTAAAATTTGGAATTTCACATAAAAAAGCAAACCAGATTTCCACCTTCCAAATTGGGCGCCATAGCAATGTCAGGCCCAAATACAGGCTGGTGGGTGACTCAGGCTGCCCCCTCGTGGGCAGCCCCACCCAGCCATGTTCACTCACCTCCTCCACCCACCTGGACCCCCTAGATATTTGAGTTGGGGCCCTAAGCCCTAAGCCACAGGCTCATCACACTTTCTTGGCCCCTGCCAGTCTCAGCAGAAAGTGTCCGTGACTTTCTGTGCGTGTGTGTTTTTTTGGGGGGCACAGGTCTCTAGCTTCACGTCAACTTTTCAGAGGCACCTATAACCCCCAAATTTAAGCCCCACAGGTGTCTGGGGCCTGTCCAGACAGGCTGCGACCTGCAGACAGGCTGCGACCCCGTCTCTGCGGCAGCTCCGGTGCTCTGCTCCATCAGGCTGCTGTACTTTCTCTTGCCAGATCCTGAACTGGCCACTGGGCAGCCAGAGGGGGCGGCAGTCACCCCTCTGGGGAGAGGGCGGCAGTCACCCCTCTGGGGAGAGGGCTCTAGTCCACATGGGTGGGGAAGGAAAGACCACACCTCAGGGACACCTGTGCTGGGGCCGGCCGCCCCAGCTCGAGCCTGGAGAACTCTTCTCCTGCTTCAGACCAGCTCCTGTCTGAGGGCTCCGGGCCGCTGTCCCAGCCAGGTCCAGAGGCAGGAAGGGGCCCACGTGCCCTGCCACTGGGTCCCCTCAAGCACCCCTGGGGCTATTACACTTTTCTCAGGATGAGATTGACTGAGTGACGCGATTGGTCTCTGCTGCTCCTTCCTGTGCGGATGGAGGAACTTGAGTCCAAGGTGCACAGTGAGCAGATCTGGCCTAACCCCCCGGCGTCCAGGTTCTGAGCCTCATGCCTGATGCTGGGCTTTTGGGGTCCAGTGGACTCACCCTCAGGCCTGGCCTGGCTCAAGGGTTGGGGGGCTTCCATGTTCTGTGTCTCCCCACCTGCACCCTCTAGGTAGTTTTTACCCCTCTGCTGAACCAGTCTCCGTGGTGGTAGCAAGGGACAGGCACAGCAGTGACAGGAGCGAAGCTGCCAAGACTGCCTGTGAGCCCATCTGTTCATGAAGCCCGTCAGGCCCGGATCGGGGGGTGGGGGGCGACCACTGCCAGCTCTCCCTCCACGTCAGCGGCTGTCGGCAGGGGTGCGGCTGCGCAGAGCTGTAACGTTGTTTCATTCCTTTACACTGGGGTCAGTCGGAGACATGCGGCTGTAGTGCCCAGAGCATTTCAGAGCTCACAGGCTCCATGTGGCCTCTTTGTCAGCAACCCCCATGGGTCCCACAGGCCCCCCTCTCACGCGCTCTCTAGGTGATGCCAGCTGGACCTCACACTGCCCATCTTTAGCTCCTACTCCCTGTGCTCTCTTTGGCTTGTGACGCTGGGGCCAGAGGGAAGACGGCCGCCTGCTCACTGGATTGAGTTCCCTCCGTGTTCTTTGCTCCCCCCACTCTTATGATTGCACAGCTGCAGTCTCCAGTGTCTAGCTCTTCGCTTGCTCTCCCCCCCGCTCCCCCGGTCTCCAGCTTGCGCTCAGTTGTGGAGTTAGCACGGATTTCCTTTCGAAGTAGTACGCCTCCTGCCTGGGCTGGCCAGCAGCTCCAGGGACAGCCTGGCTCCTTCCTGCTATTTCCCAGACTGTTGCTGCACAGATGCCCCTGGGCTCCCGCACCTGCGCGCAGGCCTGCACCCCCTTCTGGTGATGCCCTTGTTGTACTGTCATTGACTGTGGTCCCATCAGTGATCAGTGGTGTAAATCTCAAAGTTGCCGTTTCCTTCATCCTCCCCACCAAACACTGAGGTCTCTTGGTTCTTCCTCTCCAACTGGTTGTTTCCACCAGCTTCCCTCGAGAACGTGGTTCTGTGCGGGGCCTCACAGGTGCGACTCCTTTCTTCCCCTCTCTGCAGCGCACAGCAGCAGCAGCCACCCCCTGCCGCAGGCAGAGCACGACTTTTGTCCAAGTCTCAGGTGCGGTGTTGGGTCCTGCTCAGCTCTGCCACACCTGGCAAATGGCGACACAGAGGCCCCCAGCTGCTCTCAGGGCCCTGGCCTGCCGTGTCCCACCACCCCGCCCGCCAGAGGCATCTGCTGGCCCCCAGCCCGGCCTTTGCTGTGGCGTTAGTGCTTGGTGGACTGGTGTGTTCTCAGCGAAGTGAGGGAGTTACAGAAACGCAGCCCGCGTTCTCTGAGCTGGGGAAGCTGGTGGGGGCACTCCACTGTGTGCCTGCCGCTTGTGAAGAACCTGTGCTGAGGGGGTTCCACCATTTCAGAATTGCTCTGAGTTCCTGCCATGTGTCAGGCACAGGCCCAGGCCCGGATGCAGAGGAGACTCACCCAGCTCTTCCATCCTGGGGCTTACGGCCAGGGGTGGAGGTGCAGAAGCTAAACACCCGGTCACAGCCCGCTCTTGGTTCACGGTCACAGCAGCGGGAGCTGGGGGCCCAGGGGCCTGGCAGATGCTCCTTCCCACGGGCCCAAGGAACATGACCAGCCCATCTTACTTAATGCTCAGGCCTGGGAGGCGGGGGATGGCGGGGCCTGTGGCTGGGGCAGGGCTAGGCTAGGTCCCTTCACTCAGCAGAGCGTCCCCTCTGAGATTCAGGGACGCCCCTGAACCCCACGAGAGGCGCCTCAAGTGCTGGCCTCTCCCTGGTGGCACCAAGCTGCAGGCCTTTGCTTCCTCTTCCAGCCCGGCCAACGGGGGCCGCACCTGCTCCGGCCTCGGCTACGACTTCCAGCTCTGCAACCCGCAGGACTGCCCAGATGCCCTGGCCGACTTCCGCGAGGAGCAGTGCCGGCAGTGGGACCTGTACTTCCCGCATGGCGACGCCCAGCACCACTGGCTGCCACACGAGCACCGGGATGGTGAGCTGGCATGGGGGCCGAGTGGGTGCTCTGCGCGTCCCTTCCCACTGAGGCTGCACGGGCAAGGCTGCCGGCCACCCTGGGCTGCCAGCAGAGCCCACCCTGGCCCCTGTGGCTGCCAGGGCCACTCCTGGGCTGGGGCCTGGGGCCTGTGGCATGGCAGGACTGCAGTTAGAGGAGTCAGGAAGAACCTGGCCCAGGGTGCTGGGAGAGGGCCCTGCTGGAGGCTCCCGCAGTCACCACCAGTGGACGAGGCTGGGGCTTTGTGGTCAGGACGTCTCAGGGTTGGGGTGGACCCTGCCGAGGAACCAGGCCGCCTCTGGCCTTCTCATCTCTCAGCGGGAGCTCTCAGCTCCAAGTGTCAGAAAGCATGACTGGATCTGGTGGCAGCATTAAAGGCCTTCCTTGGTTCCTGGGCTGAAAAGTCCGGGAACTCTGACACGATAGTGTTCGTACCCCATTCGGGTCCTCACCCCCTTCACGATGGCATTCTAAACACAAGTTGCTGTCCCTTCCAGGCACTGGGCAGGAAAGGGTGGCAGGGGCCGCGGCCTGCTCAGTGCTGGAGGTGCTGCCGGAGCAGACAGGGCCCTCCCTCTCAGAGGGAGGCTGCAATCTGGTGGGCAAGGTAGATGCTCGTCAAATGATGGCCCAGTGTGTTTTAGGACCTCAGAAAATGCTGAGATGGGGAGGTGCCAGGGACCCGAGACTGAATCAAGGGGCATCTGGCCTTATTCAGGGTTTCAGAGAAGGCTGGCAGAAAAGGGTCTTCGGGCAAAGACCTGGAAAACAGCCATGTGCCATTGCTTCCTTGTGTCGGGGTCTCTGGGCGGGGCCTTGGGGATCTGAGATACTGCTGCACCTATAACAGCCTGGCTCCACTGGGACAAGCTCCTCCTAAATCTGACGCCCCAAGCTCCAAGGCCCTGAGACAGTGACACAAGGGGTGGTGGTCGCCTGCCCCAGGGCAGGTGCATGGGGCGGGGGGTGGGGGGTGGTGGGGGAGGGGGTGGGGTGGTCGCCTGCCCCAGGGCAGGTGCACAGGTGGGGGGGGGGGGGGCAGGAATCCATCCGAACACCCTCCTGGGAGTTTCTCCCTCACATGGTGCTTCTCTCGAGTGAACTAGGGAAGGAAGGCAAGTGGTGCGGCTGGCACTGCTCGCCGACCCCCCGCTGCTCCCCTTCCAGCCAAGGAGAGATGCCACCTCTACTGCGAGTCCAAGGAGACCGGGGAGGTGGTGGCCATGAAGCGCATGGTGCACGATGGGACGCGCTGCTCCTACAAGGACGCCTTCAGCCTCTGTGTGCGTGGGGACTGCAGGGTGAGTGCCACGAGCGCCGCCACGGCCCAGGGCCTCCGCGTCCTGGGGTTGTTGGGAGGAATTGCTGAGGTTAAGTATGCAAAGTGTTGGAACAGCACCTGCCGCAGGGCCGGCTCTCAGCAAATGTCGGCCTACCCCTCCCTGTGCCAGCAGTTCTCAGACTTGGTGTGGCTGGAGTCACCGGGGGAGCTTGGGGGCTGCACCTGAGAGATTCAGGTCAAGGCTGGGCCGGGAGCATGAATTTCACGAGCTCCCCAGGTGATTGTTCGTGAGGCACTGCTGCGTCCTTGCACTCCACTGGGCACTGGACAGCTGCTTCTTTTTTTTCTTCTCCCCAAAGCCCCAGTGCATAGTTGTATATCCTAGTTGGAGTTGTTCTAGTTTCTTCCATGCGGGATGCCGCCACAGCATGGCTTGATGAGCAGTGTGCAGGTCCACACCCAGGACCCAAACCAGCGATTCCCGGGCTGCCAAAGCAGAGTGCGTGAACTTAACCACTTGGCCACAGGGCCTGCCCCCAGACAGCTTATTCTTGATCAGGGTGGCCCACTGTCTGTCTCATTGGTGTGGCTCTGTAGAAACGCCCTGCTGTGTTTTCCATTATTCTTACATCTTTGGCTTCAATCTTAGGCTGTCACAAGAGACAACTGTGGGACAACTCAGTATATGATAATAACATGAGCACCGACTCGCCCCCTGCCAGACTCCCTAGAAACAACTGGAACCCCCTGTAGAGTTTGTGTAGACAGGACTGACTGTAGGTGTCACCGAGGCTGCCTCTGTCTCACCTTCCTGAGAAGTGGGCATCCTCAGGACGTCTCTGGCAGAGAGCCTGGCAGAAGGCCACAGGTGCCCTGGAGGAGGAAGGTGAGGCTGGAAGACAAGGAGGCGGGTGCTGGGCAGTTGGGTGCCCTCAGGGCTTCTCTCCGCTCACAGGGCTTCAGTAGGAGCCCAGCAAGAGTGAAGGAGGCTCCTCCACAACACGGCAGATGGCCAAGAGGAGGCTGCTCTGGCTTGAGTCTGGCAGGGAGGCTGGCCACACAGTCTGCTCAGATGGTGAAACCAAATACCCCGAAACAAAGATAGCAGTGTCTCCTTTGTCCCCGCAGGGTTTTAAGTTATGGAGGCAACTGGGTGACAACACAGAGAGACCAATGCCATTGAAAGAAGAATTTATTGCTTCCATTTCCCGAGAAGGGGGCATACTGTGCTGTGCAGGGCCACTCAGGGGAAGCGCCAGATTTGGTCAGGAGGCAGAAAGGAGCAGGGAACTAGGTCCGAGCCTGCATTAGGGTTCCGTGGGAAAGGCAAGGTAGGGCGGGTAGAGGCTGAGGATCGGCCATTGTGAATAATTCCAGTAGACTCCAGGCTATAGGGGTGGTCCCCAGCCTTCGGGTGCCTGGCCTAGGAGGAGTGGCAGGGGAAGTACTGGCTTGTGTGAGAGGTGATGAGGAGGACAGTTGGTGGCATTTGTTGGTTTGGTTATGAAAGGTGGGTTCCTAGCATAGCCCTTTGCTGTCTATGAACTGGCCTGCCCTGGGAGGGGCAGCCTCTCCCTGGCCAGCATCACAAGACGCAGAAAAAATTTTCAAACATGATTAATATAGGCTGTCAGCATGGAAAACATTTAGTAGTAGAAGTTGCTTTTCATGGCAGCTGTGATGATGGTTGCAAACCTGACAGAGAAGTGAGAGCACTCACACACCCTGTCAGCACCAGGGCCATCGCTCCGCTCCTGACACTGGCAACTGGAGAAGACTGGTTAAGCGCCTCATTAACAGTGATTTTTAATGGATAACAGCAGGATGATAGATTTTTGCATAAGTAGAAAATATATACAGTTGTGTGTCACTTACGTCCTGAGAAATACGTCCTTAGGCGATTTTGTCGCTGTGCGAACATCACAGAGTGTACTCACACAAACTCAGACAGTAGAGCTCGGCTCTATAGTACTAATCCTGTGGGATCACAGTTGTATATGCGGTGCATCGTTGACAAAACATCGTTGTGCAGCGCATGACTGTGTATGATCATATTGCAAAAGTCACAAAACAAACGAGACAGAAAAGAAAGATTTAAAAACACACAAAAGACATGGGCAGTAGTGAGATGAAATATATGAGTCCCAGCAATGCCTGGGAATGTGAAACTCTTCTTTTAAAAGAATCTAATACTGGGTCAAAAAGCAATACCCTCGTGGATGCTGTCAATTTAGAGAATGTCAAAACAATGACTCGAGAAGGTCAAAAGTGAAGCGACAGCAGATGTGTCAGGAGAATAAAGGTGCATGCACACAGCGTACACACACAGCAAGGAATCAAGAGAATCAAGAATTGAATGTGGCCCATAGCTTCTTTTGATAAAGGGCACAATCCACAACCTTGATAAAGTAATGACATGCTATCAAATATGTCATCTAAAAACTGCTATGAAAAATGGAAAAATTGAAATAAGCCAGCATATTTCCTGATCTCATAGCTCGCCGACTGGCTGTCACAGATCAGGAGGGAGAAGAGCAGCACCTTACCAGCCCCACACCCCTCCCTGTGGCAGCCCTGCAGCCTCACTGCCAGCGCCTCCCCCCACCCAGCTGGGACCCAAGTGGGATCACACTGTCAGTCTCCTCTGTTCATGGGGATGGCCAGCCCCAGCCATGCAGAGCTGCCTGGGGACACATGGGCATCCCCAACCTGAGCTGTCCTCGGACCCATTAACCCCTTTAATATCTAAAGTGAGATTCCAGGCCAGTAGAAGGGCCCTGGGCTCCACTGGCCTCTTAGTTAAAGTCTCAGTGCCACATTCCCGCTAGTCCAGCTCAGGCCACTAGATCTCACACAGTGTCTCCTGAAGGCCCGTCCACGCTTGCCAAAGACAGATATGCCTGAGCTGGGGTGGTACTTGCCTGGCCTGGATGCTCAGAGATGAGCCGACCACCGCTGCCCAGACAAAAGTGGCTGTGTGAAACCCTCCTCCAGGTGGCAGGCAGGCCTCCCGACTGTGATGGTGACACATGCTGGTTTTGGGAAGTGGCAGATTTGTGATTTCAGCCCAGGCTTCTGTGCCTTAAAAGACCAATATTTTCCCCCCGACAGTTTATCACATTGCCTTCCTTTGCTAAATTTTTTTTTCCTCAGGAATTATTAAAATAAAAAAGAGCATTTCATTTTATTGATTGTTTTTCACCCTGCTCACTTCCAAACATGATTCAAAGGCTTATGATCACATATAGGTCAATAAAACCCAAAGATTGTTGAACTCTATGCACACATTCAAAAATCACACATGGAGGCTGGCCTGTGGCACAATGGTTAAGTTTGCATGCTCCACTTCAGTGGCCCAGGGTTTACAGGTTTGGATCCTGAGTGTGGACCTATGCACCACTCATCAAGCCATGCTGTGGTGGTGTCCCACATACAAATAGAGGAAGATTGGCAACAGATGTTAGCTCAGGGCCAATCGTCCTCACCAAAAAGAAAAGAAAAAAGGTGCATGAACCTCTGCTCTGTAGCCCCTTCATGGTCTAGAGCCCCTGCCCTCAAAGGTCCTTATAAGACAAAAGTCAGAAACCAAAGAGCAAAGGGAGAGGAAGCAGGTGGTAGGAGGATCTTGAGGAGAGAATTAGCCTGTTTGGGCTGTGCAGGGCCCTCTGAGGTCACACTGTCCGGATGAGTGAATGAGGCCCAGTGAGGGGGAGTGGCTGTCCTTGGTGGGTCCCCAGTGAGTGGGCACACAGGATCTGCCTTGCTCCAAAGCCCTGTCTCCTTCCCTTGTGTTGGGAATGGCAAAGGGATGCCCAGACCTGGGCCGCAGAGGGAACAGGTGCTGGGGCCTAGGGGCGTGGGTCAGGCCAGGGCCTGAGTGGGGAGGGGGTCTCACGTACACACTGCACCCTGCCCTCACAGAAGGTGGGCTGTGATGGGGTGATCGGCTCCAGCAAGCAGGAGGACAAGTGTGGCGTGTGCGGCGGGGACAACAGCCACTGCAAAGTCGTCAAGGGCACCTTCACACGCTCGCCCAAGAAGCTTGGTGAGTGCGCTCCTCCCTCCGGCCCCGAGCCGTCCTTGAGGCTCTGTGTGGGTTCAGACTGTTCTGGGGGTGGTCTGGGAGTGTGAGGTGGACAGAGAATCCTAAGTCAGGGACAGCTTGAGCCAGGCTCCAGGGGGATGGGGAACAGGGAGACTGGGGGCTCTGGTCTCAGGCTCAGGGCAGAGAAGGCTGGGATATAGGCGCACAGGGTGGGTCTTAGAAGACTTGATTTGAGGGGAGAGGCCTGAGGAGGACACCCCTCCCCTGCCCTCCGGGGCTGCCCAGCTGCCTATGGGCCCCTTGCTCCCTGCCCCTCAGCCCCTACCCCCACTGGCTGTCAGTAGGACTCTCCCGGGCCTGGGCTGGTCAGTGCAGCCTGGGGCCTAAGGGCATGGTAGGTCTGTCCCCCACGGGGCTATGGGATGGGCCTGGGGAGCTTGGGGTCCTGGCGGACCTGGGCTCTGGGAAGACAGCCCTCTGGGGAGCCTCACTGCAGGGCTGTGCCTCCACCTGGCCCTCCGCCCTCCAATTGGGCCTGCAGACGCTGACTGCCCCGCCTCTGTCTGAAATGGAGAGAAGCCGCTTGGCTTTGCCTCTTCCAGAAGAAGGCCATGGAGCAAGCGTGCGGGACTCCACACAGAGCGGGTGCCAGGTGCCAGCAGCTGACCCTCTCCACCTGCCGCACGAGAGCTCCGGGGTCTTCAGTTTGCAGATCAAGTGGCTGAGGTCCAGGGAGGCCAGGCAGTTGCTGGGCCTTCCCTCCTACATGTGGCGTCTTAGCTTCAGGCCCGGGCGTGACTCCAGGGCCATCCACAGGATTCCCACGAGCTTTCAGTAGAGGAGGCTCCCTCAGGAGCACCTGGGGTTTGAAGATGAGCAGAAGGGCTGTGGAGACACAGCATCTTTCCCATTGGCCCCTATCTGGGAGGGCAGTCAGAGCCCACGGAACACTGGGGCTCAGGAACCGCCGTCAAGGGCCAGGCCCTCCATGTGTTACCCACATTCGGGCAGCCTCTCCCCTCATTTGGCTTTGTCTCCCTACATCCCAACAAAGGTTACATCAAGATGTTTGAGATCCCAGCAGGAGCCAGACACCTGCTTATCCAGGAGGCAGACGCCACCAGCCACCACCTGGGTGAGTCTCCAAGCACAGGCAAGGTCGCCTCTCCACAGCCTGGCTCTTCTGGGGATGGGCAGAATGCCCCGGGGTCAGAGGCCTGTCCCTGGCTCAGCCCACCTGGTGGACCTTTCCCCGGGTCACCTGGTGGAGAGGCCAGGGGTTGAGAACAGAGCAGCCGCTGTGGAGGGACCTGTGTCTAAGACATGCCACACCCCCAGCCCATAGAATGGTGACTCTCTACCTCCCATCTCAAGGCCAAGGGGGAAGACAGACCCCCCCCTACCCACTGGAAGGCGGGCAGGGTCTGCAAGCAGCAGAGTGCTGGGCAGCGCCCCCAGCACCAACCAGAGGGCGCTGAGGCCGCTGGAGGATAGGCTCCCGGTGTATTTGCATATATTGAAATTAGTTTAATTTTAAATTCAAGGGATTCTACCTGGAATAGGGATTTCGGACATCCCTTGAAAATTTGGATATTCTATTGACTCTGGGCACCCCTTCCCATGTGGCCGCCCCTGCCTTCGGGACTGTGCTCTCTGTTCCCCACCCTCGCAGGGGCTTCACCCAGCTTCCCTCCTCCCCAAAGGCATCTGGGCCCTACCACCGAGGCAGTTGTGGGGCCAGAGTCAGAGGGTGATGCCTGCGGTCCCTGGCGGGATCCTGCACAAGTCCCTTCCCCCAGTTTGGGCCCCACCTTCCTCCCTGTGCCCTGGAGGCTGGACTGGGTCAGGAGCTCCCAAACTGCTGCCATCCGGCGCACTCACTGACAACACGTATCAGGCACAGCATCTCTAACATGCATTTTTCTCTCTTCCTTGTTTTAAGAGGAAACTTTATATTACCACCCAAAATCTAAAACCAATACCACTTGCCTTAAATGGAAGGTAAATAGAAAAGCTGCTTCCCGAAAAAAAAGACACTTCTACCTAAACGTGTTTCCTGCTAGTGGACTAGGTCCCAGGTCCCCTCTCTGCACAAGAGGAGTGAGGGTTAGTGACAAATTGAGGGCCTATTGGCACCCACTGGGGACTCTCCGTGACCAGGACAGAGTCATAGGAGACGTGTTCAGGGAGTCGTTTCTTCACTCGGGGAGCCCGTGGTCTCCGTGCCCTGTCTGTGGCCCCCATGAAATCACCCCGCAGGCCCCCAGTAGCCGCCTTCCACACTGGGAAGTGTGGGGCTCCCTGACAGCTGGGTTCTCAGCTCCTAGATGCTCTTCGTGGATGCCCAGTGGCCCAAATGTCTCCCCCCCCAGTCAGGTCAGACCTCTTCCGGGGTATGGGCAACTGGTGGGGACCCAGGCCAGGCCCCAGTTACCGAGGGGGTGGGGGGACCCTGCTTTTCAGCTGGACATATGCCCACGCCATGGCAGGAAGCCCGCAGCCCTGCAGCCTGCTGTCCAGCAGATCCCCCGCACCCGGGGGCCAGGGCAGGGAGGGCGGTAGCTCTGAGTGCCTGCTGGGTGCTGCAGTAGCCTGCAGGGAAGCCCCTGAGGGCTCAGCCACTCCCCCGCCCCTGTGCCTTCAGGGCTTGTGGAGCAGACCAAGGAAAGGGCCCTGGGCCGGCCAGAAGGGCACGGCGGAGGGAAATCTAGTTCCACTGAGCAGCAAAGGGCGAGGCAGGCTCCCAAGGCGGTTTGGGCCCCTGGTAGAGGGCAGTTGGGCGAGACGAGGGCATCTGCTCCCAGCCAGCGTCCCCCGGTGCCCTGACCTCGCCCTGGGCGATCATGGCTGGGGCTGCCTTTTGCCACTCTCAGCCATCAAGAACCTGGAGACAGGCGAGTTCATTTTAAATGAAGAGAATGGCGTGGATCCCGACCCCAAGTCCTTTATTGCCATGGGAGTGGAGTGGGAATACCGGGAGGAGGACGGCCGGGAGACGCTGCAGACCATGGGCCCCCTCCATGGCACCATTACCATCCTGGTAAGTGGAGACAGGAGCCAGGCCTGCCGCCTCCTGGCTGCCCAGGTAGGGGCAGGTGGCCACTGGGGAAGCGATGGGGGGTTGCCCGGGAGCCTGAGCGTCACTGCGCCTTCGGGCAGGCCACACTCTGAGCGGCCCCTCTGGCCTGCCCTTGGGACCGAGGGTCTCCACCTCTGTGTCGGAGCGAGGAACAGACGGAGCCAAGAGCCGGGGCCCTGCGTTGACCCCCGAGGGACCTCAGGCAGACTCCCCTGTAAGGGTTTCGGTTCCCCCTCTGCATGACCTTCACGGCCACCTTTCATCCTGCTCCTCCATGTCTGCCATCACGTCCAAACCCTGCCACGCCCTGGGAGGACCCATGGGGCTCAGGAGGGTAGCCCGCCAGACCCAGGTCACAGGGACTTTGTCCCCAAGAGGGACTGGACCCAGGTGTCCTGAGTCCAAGACCACAGGCTCTGCTGGTGATGAGAAGGCAGAGGGGCCTTGATTGGCTAATCACTTTTTAAAAATTAATTTTAGTTGTATAAGTAATATATTTTACTTGTAAAAAATTAAGAGCCTACTGATGAGGCTCAGGTCCTTTAGCCCCTCCACCCAGGGGAGCGCAGGTGTTCCGGTCAGGCCCCGGGAGGCCCTCAGGGATCAGCCTGCTTCAGCAGCCGCTCCGCGTTGAGAGCCACCTCCTGGCTGCGGGGTGAGGTCCCCACGGCCACGCCGAGCGGCGACCTGTGCGGGCGTCCCCCTGGAAGAAGCGGCCCCTCACAGGGCATTTAGGGCCGTGTTTGTGTGCTTTCGGGGACGGCCGCGGTCTAACGCGCCCCTCAGCGTCGCCGAGCCGCGGGCCGGGGTGGCCTCGCGCTGGGTGCCCTCCGCGAGCGCTGCGGGCATGGCGGCCCCCGTGTTCGCGGGGCTGCGCGGTACAGCCCTTGGGCCGGGCTTGGGGCCGGGAGGGCGCAGACCGTCACGGCGCGGGGGCGCAGGTCATCCCGCAGGGGGACGCCCGCGTCTCGCTGACCTACAAGTACATGATCCACGAGGACTCGCTCAACGTGGACGACAACAACGTCCTGGAAGACGACTCCGTGGGCTACGAGTGGGCCCTGAAGAAGTGGTCCCCGTGCTCCAAGCCCTGCGGCGGAGGTGAGGGCCTTCCGCTATCGGCCCGGGCTGGGTGCGGCAGGTGACCCAGGGGCCCGGTGAGCGGAGCCGGTGGGGGGCCAGGGAGGCCACAGCAGTGACCTTCCCCGGGTGGACGAGGGCCCGGCCCAGCCCGGCCTGCGAGCGGCACGGTGGCGGGAGGGGCAGGTAGGAAGGCCAAAGGCCGCCCGAGGGGCGCGTGGGCGCGGCGGCGCTGGCAGCGCTGGGACCGGTCAGGTCTGGGCGCCCGAGGGGGACGCGGGGAAGACTAGCCGCGCTGGAGACCAGGGGAGGGGCCCCTCTGAGAGGTCCCTCCCTGTGTTCATTCAGAAAGGCCTCCCAGACCCTCCTGGGGTCCCCAGTGCCCTGGATGGAATGAGGTCGGGGTTGGGTGAGACGGACGGATGGGCAGAAAGTGCCAGTCTGCAGGGCGGCCTCCGCCCCTGGGGGCTGGGCCAGATGAGAGGCAGGAGAGGACAGCCCGCCCGCAGGAGCTGGGGCAGGACAGACCTCCCTCGCGGGCCGGTCCCACACCCGGAGGACAAAGAGCTGTCTATGGGGGTGGTGCTGGCTGGATGGAAGGCTCCTCTTTCAGTGCTCCCACCTGGGCAGGTGGCACCCCCAGCCTTCTGGTGGGCCTCCTGCCCCGCTGGATTTCATCAGCACAGCTTGTTGGTTCTCCCCACACGTATCTCTTGGACCCACCTGCTGGTCCCACCTTCCCAGTCCTGGCACCACCCTCCCTCCACACCTGGCCCTGTGTGTCCACGCTTGCCCCCAGAGTGGCCTATTAAAGGGGCACATCAGACGACGTCCCTTCCTGGAGTCATAGTTTTCAGCAACTTCTCTGCTCTTAGGATAAAAAGCCAAATTCTCCTCATGGCCTCCGAAGTTTGGGCAACTTGCTGACCTCTCCCACCATACTGGTGCCCTGCACGGGCTCACCAGGCCACACTGACCTTAGATGCTTTCCCTGGCCATGCCATGCTCCTGCCTCAGGGCCTTTGCACAGGCTATCTCCCTCTACCCCCGGGATCCCCCTCGCCCGCCTTCATACTAAACCAGCAGTCTCCCTAACGCTGGTTCCTGGGACATCTCCAGAAGCCAGACCTGGTCAGGGCTGCCCGGCCATATTCACTCATGTCTTGCCCACTAAGCTGGAGCTGCACAACCACAGCACTGCTGACATTTTGGGCTCTGTCATTTTCTGTTGAGGGGGTGGTCCCGTGTCCTGTGGGATGTTGAGCAGCATTCCTGGCATCTACCTGCTAGATGCCAGTAGCACCTCTCCTCCAGTTATGACAACTAGTGTCCAGGACATTGCCACATGTCCCCAGGGGGCAAAGGCGCCCCTTGCTGAGAACCACGGCACTACACTGTGGTGGGAGGAAGCTTGCAGGCTGTGTTCTTGTGTTTGGCCACCTCCTGGCTCATACCAGGTCCTCGGTGCATATTAATTCAAGGTGTAGTGAATGGCTAAATGATGGGAGAGAAAAGAGAACCTTTCCTCCTGCCCCAGGAGGCCAGCCCAGGGCCCGGGGAGAAGCTGCCAAGGGGAGAAGGTGCCTGCCCTGTTGCCCACACTTAGCCTGGAGTGCTGGGTGGACACCAAGCTGGATATCTGCAAGGCCTGGCTTGGGCGCTCTGCTCTCCACCCCCTCAGAAGGGCAGGGAGGTCTGAGGCTGCATGTGGAACTGCCCTCTGCACCCCTGGGGGGCCACGCCACCCCGTGACCGCCCCTCCGCCTGCCCCACCTCGTTCAGGGTCCCAGTTTACCAAGTACGGCTGCCGCCGGAGGCTGGACCACAAGATGGTGCACCGAGACTTCTGCGACACCCTCCTGAAGCCCAAAGCCATCCGCCGGGCCTGCAACCCCCAGGCGTGCTCCCAGCCTGTGTGAGTGCCTCGTGGCCAGCTCCTACAGGAGGAGAGCACAGGCCCCCGCTCCCGTGGGGGGAGGCGGGTGTGGCCACGAATGGCACTGGGCCTCATGTGCCCTGAGATGTTACAGGGTTCTCTCTCACTCACCACATTCCGTGGAGTCTGAGATGCTGCGGCCCCACTTCAGCCCTGCTGACCTGGAACGGTGACATGCCACTTAGCAATGATAAGGGTAGTGCTCAGGTGTGGACACTGAGGCTCCGAGGGGCAGGTCCTGTAGTTGCTGTTCCCCACGCGGCTCATTGCAGTGGCGTGGCCCAACCCTCCAGCCCCAGGGTTTGGCAGGGCTGCATCGCTGGTCCCTCTGGTAGGGCCCTGAGCAGGGCAGATGGCTGGCGAGTAGGGAGGTGGGTGTGTGGGGCTGGGTGCTGACGGAGTCCGCACTGCTGTCTCACGGTTTCAGCAGAAGCTGAGGGCAGAGGGTGAGGCGGAAGGCTGGGAAGGGACAGAGGCCAGCAAAGCCCCTCAGGCCGGGGCTCTCCAGGGCCACTCCCCGGGGTCTCTGAGCAGTGGACATGTGTGGGGTTTGTCACCTGTGGGACCTCGGGCAGGGTCACAGCAACCTACAGGGCGCCTTGTGAGAGTGGGGACAGGTGCGCCTGGAGGCAGGCTGCCTCTCTTTGTCCCCTGGGCCACAGCAGGCTGGCTCTCCAGGGCACTGACCACGCACCACTCTGCCTGGCAGGTGGGTGGTGGGCGAGTGGGAGCCGTGCAGTCAGAGCTGCGGGCGGACCGGCACGCAGGCACGCTCCGTGCGCTGCGTTCAGCCTCTGCACAACAACGCCACCCGTGCCGTGCACAGCAAGCACTGCAACGACGCCCGGCCTGAGGGCCGCCGCGCCTGCAACCGTGAGCTCTGCCCCGGCCGGTGGCGGGCTGGGCCCTGGTCCCAGGTAAGCTGTCCCCCAGCTCCCCTCCCCGTGTCCTTGGCCCCCAAACGAAGCTTGGGTGGCAATGGGGTAGCCCGAGCATTCCCCCTTGGCCTGGACACAGCTCCTGCCCTGGGCTCCATCCTGTGGATCTCAGGGCACTGGTGGTCCAGTGCTCTGTTGAGAAATGCAGTGGAATGTCTGTCTTCATTGCAAAGGGCAGAGGCTGCTGTGTGCTACAGGGGTCTGGAATCCCAGGAGACTGAGGGTAGCCTGGCTCTGGGATCCAAAGAGGCTGGGGCTCTCATCTCACAAGGTGGGGGTGTGGTCTGGAAGGCCAGCCACACTTGTGGGAGGGGACATGAGCAAGGGAGGGCTTAGATGTGGGCTGTAAAGAATAGTGTGCATGGTCTCAGGGGCTAGAGGGGCAGTTTTGGGGGCTGAGCTGAGCCGATGTGAGCACTGACATCCAGCTCATAGGCCTGGCAGGTCAGGAGTCCCCAGGGCCAGCCTCAGGCTCAATGATTTGCTAGAAGGACTCACAGGACTCAGCAGCGGTGCTCACAGTTATGGTCTATCACAGTGGCAACATGAGTAGAATCAGCAAAGGGGAAAGTATGCGGGTGGAGTCCAGAGGAGACCAGGCACGGGCTTCCAGGTGTCCCTTCCCGGTAGAGTCACCAGGGACGTGCTTAGAGCTCCCAGCAATAATGTGTGACAACACACATGAAGTACTGCCCACCAGGGAAGCCCCCCATGCCTGGGCGTCCAGAGTTTCCACTGGGGTTCAGTCACGTGGGCAGACAGCCCCATGTGACGGACATTGGTCATTGGCGCCCCTGACCCCCCAAGGGAAAGCAGGGGCTCAGCTCCCCATAAGTCACACTGTTGTTGCAGCAACTCATGCCTTAAGTGGGCACGACACTCTACCAGATGGAACGTTCCTTGAACTTGGTTCCCAGGAGCTGCCCGAGGGCTGGTCCTGAAAACAGGCCTTTCCTGGGTCTGCTGAGTCAGCCCTTCTCGCACACACGGCGAGGACTTGAGAATTCTCCTGGGGCAGGGCTGGGCCGAGTGGGCATCTGGGCATGACCTATCCCGTGTGGTAAGGTAGAGGGGCCGGGGAGGGACCGGTGCCATGGAGCCTCCTGTCCAGCTGCAAGGGGGTGGTGTCTGCCAAAGCTTCGTGGACATGGCCGGGCTCTCCCAGCGGCCCCAGTGCTCGGCAGGCCTCCCTGGGCCTGGGCCTCCTCCAGCCAGAGCAGAGGGCACTCGCTGAGATCCCAGAAGCGCCAGGCCCTAGGCTGGGCCCTGCGCATTTGTCTCTCCAGCTCACACTAACTCAGAGAGATGGCACAGAGTCTGAGGTGGCCACCGAGGCTGGGGCAAGAGGGGCCAGGCCTCCAGCCCACTCTACCTGCTGCCCCTCACCACCTCCCACTTGTTCTGGGGTCACACGCCTGGGCAGCTCTTCCAGGCCCAGCCTAATGTGGCCCTGACTGGTGACTCTGCCTGCAGTGCTCCGTCACCTGTGGCAACGGCACCCAGGAGCGGCCGGTGCTCTGCCGAACCGTGGACGACAGCTTCGGGGTCTGCCGGGAGCCGCGGCCTGAGACGGCAAGGATCTGCAGGCTTGGCCCCTGTCCCCGTAAGCCCTCTGTTGCGCCGGTCCCCAGCCGCCAGCATATAAAGGCCCGGGGTGAGGGAGGCAGGTCCAGGCAAACGCAGCTCTTCCCACAACGGGCTGGACTTGGCAATGAGCCCACCCGGCCAAGGCTGGGACCTCTCCCTCGTAGGAAGTGGAAGGAACATTTGCCAGGCTCGTCTCCGGCCCGGCCCTGGTGAAGGATGGAGCAGACTCAGCCCATCCCTGCCTTCCTGGCACTCCCTGTTGGTCTGGGAGACAGGAACCAGACTCACAGTGACTGCACAGTGGTGCCCAGCCAGATGGGGCACCCATGCCCACGCAAGGAGCGGGTGCTTGTGTGAGCAGGGGGCGCCTGTGTGAGTAGGGGGTGCCTAGCGTCCTTTAAGGAGAGCACCCCGAACACTTCTGCATGCAGATGCTGCCAAGTACTCAACATGCATCCCACTTTTGGTCCCCACAGAAGCTCAAGATGTAGACCCCTCCACAGGTCCTGTCTACAGAGGAGGGAGCTCAGTGGGGGAGGGTGTGCCCGCCCCAGCTGGAGTGGGGAGAGCTGGGATTCGCTTGTTCTTGTGTCCCAGGAGCAGGGCAGGATGGGGGCACTGAGGAGCGAGGCAAAGATAAGGAGGTGTGGCAGGGCCCGAGTTGGGGTAGTAGCTGTGGATGCTCTGTGTAGCCAGACCCAGAAGGTGTGGGGCAGGGGCGAGGCAGGAGGAGGGCCTGGACAGGGCGGTTGGGACCCATCTGTCCTGAGGGAGGCCTTGAATGCCTCGCCCGGGAGTTTGGGGAGTTGGGGTCCTCTTGTGGCCCCCCAGGACACAGGGAGGCTGTGGAGCCCCCTTGCCTGGGGTGGGCAGGAGCCCTGGCCTGGCACCCGGGCAACCGAAGCCTCCTGTCTCTTTTCTCCAGGGAATGTCTCCGACCCCTCCAAGAAGAGCTATGTGGTTCAGTGGCTGTCCCGACCGGACCCCGACTCACCTATCCAGAAGACCTCGTCAAGTAACCGGCCGGTTTATAACTCTGCCTCTGCCCTCCCGTGCATGCCCTGCGCCTTGTGGAGCCTGCCCTGGGCTCCTCTCCTCTCTTTCTATGGGAAGTTCCCCTGACTCTTCCTGAGGGCTCTTTTGGCGGGATCTGTTTTCTCGGGGCCTCTGTGCCCAGCTGTCTCCCTCGGAGCCGCCTGGCCGCCTGGCGGGAAGGCCAGCCTCACGAGGCATGGCCCAGGGCTCTGGCCTCTTGTCAGGGGGCTGGACCTGGTTGGTGAGGGCTTGTAAAGGGGCAAAGATCTGTCGTGGTGCTGGAGGGGCCAGAGGCCAGAGTGCAAATGTGACCACTTGGTGACCACGGGGGGCCACATCCCTCCAGGCTAAAGCTGAGGTTGGGAGCCAAGGGCGAGGCCGGCTCCTCCCCCTTCAAATGCTGCCCACCAGCGGGCCAGGCCAGAGTGGCTCTGGCTGCGCGGCCAGCCCGACTGTCCGGCGGGGTGTCGGGGCTGCCGGCCACCTCTGCTGTTGCTGCTGCTGCTGCCCCTGTGCTGAGTGTGTCCTCCTGACTCGTGCGGCTGTGGCCTGCTTCCTGTGGCCTTCGTGTCCAACTTACACAGCCCTTGGCCCCCATGCCTGGTCCCCTTGGGGGTTCAGGTCAAATGGAGGAGGCAGGGGACGTGTCCCTCCAGCGGGACATGGGGACACACCGCCCCTTCCATTCTCTGACCATTAGCTCCAATGGCCTTTTCTCATTGTGTGCACGTCCCCATCCACAGGGGTGAGAGAGTGAGAGGCTGAGGTGGATGCGGCCACCTACAGTGTGAACAACTACAGAATTACCTCAATTTTTATTGCTTTTTTGCTTAGACAAAACTATGTAGAAAATGCCTTAAAGTTGAAAGGTCACAGAATTGGCTGCTAGCTCCAGCTTCAGAGGGCGCGTGGTCCAGGGAGGGGCCGGCAGTGGCGGCTGTGGGAGGCTGTCAGGCCGCCGCTTTTGCCAAGGGGAAGGCCTGGGGTCCAGACACCCCGCCAGCGGCAAGAGGGGACCCGCCCCCAGGCCGTGTGGCCGCGGGCGCCCGGCCGTGCCCCTGTAGCAGCTGGCTGCCCACACCGCGCCCGTTGTGTAAATACTCGCTGGTGTGAACCGCAGACTAGCTCTCACGACTGTTAACTCCACTTGCCCGGGTGCCGCAGCGGCACGCGTGGCCGCGGGTGCGCCCTGGGCCGGGCGCTCTGTCTGTCCGCACTTTGGTTTATCAGGGATATTTTGTCAGTGTTTTGTATGTATTCAATGACGTATTATGTAGGTTCCATTGTTGTTGCTTTCCCGGTTTTTTATGACAGTGTGTGCCAAAGTGACTGTGAAAATGACCTTTTATTCTTACTAACAATGGAAAGACTTTCTGTCATGCATCCCACAAATAAACTCAATAAAGTGCGGTAACGCTGCGCCGGCCTGGCCCGCTGCTGCTCCTTCTCTTCCTCGGGCTCACGGCGCTGGGGAGCTGCGGGTGCCCTTCTGTCGCAGTAGATCCTCGGTTTCTGACTCAAATGACTTTACTCTCCCCCTCCCCCCTGCGCAGCGCGGCTATTAGGGCCCCTCGGCACTGAGGCGTGTGCCCCCTGCCAGAGCATTCTTCAAAATGTGACAGCAGCCCGTGCAGACACTCCACCTCCGTGATTTTGGGTTTTGAATTCTTGGTGCTAAATGAGCACCTCATGCCTGGGTTCTCCCCTCATAGATGGAGCATCACAGTAGGAAAAGGGCCCAGGTGGGTTTCTCCCATCTTTGGGACCAGAGCCTGTGGAGTAGGAATCTGGGGCCAGTAGCTGCGACAGTGCTGGCCCAGGTCACAGCACCCTGAGGGCGGCTGCGCTGGCTCCTGAGCCAGCTCTCAGCCTCAGCCCACCTGTTCTGGGAGGGCGGGTGCCCATTTGGCCAGGTGGGGGTGTTCCAGCCCCAGGAGAGTCTGGGTGGAGAGAAGAGCAAGGTGGTGGTGCCTCTTGGCACCCGGCCTGTGGTGTTCACGTGTGTGCTCAGCCGTGCCTGCCCGTGTGCCCCGAGGGCTGCCCTCAGAAGCCACAGGGCCTGTGTGTTCCTTCACCTTGCTGACAAGGACCAGAGAGCAGGTCAGGGTCCAACAGGGCCCTCCTTGTCTGGGGCCACTGCCATGTCCTGTCACTGGGCATCTCTCTCCTCCCTTTCTGTGAAGGTGTGCCATGCCAGGGAGGAGGGAGATCATGAGAAAGGATGACGTGGGGCTACCCAGCATCAAGGAGATGGGCTTCGGCGCGCACACAGGGCCAGGCCCCAGGTGCCATCCTGTGGGGTGGGGGCCACAGTGGCCGTGGTTGTGTTCAGCCTGCCCAGTGCGCTGCTGGTTGAAAGGAATGCCAGCTCGAGAGAGGCGAGGAGGCCCGCCCGCCTCTGACAGGACTGCACTCACTCAGTCTCCCTCCGGACAGACGAGGGCAGTGCCCTGACAGGCTCCCGGCCCGAGCTGCAGGCAGGCGACCACAGCCCAGGGTGCTGTGTGCCTGAGACAGCCGAGGGGGCCACCCGCTTCTTTAACTTGTCGCACGACCTTTTGAATGGTGAAGTGCTGCGTGAGGCTTGATTGAGAAACGAGAGAAGAGAATGAAGTTGTCTCTGTCCAGGCCTCTTCCAAAAGCGTGGGAGACGTGGGTGGTGTCACCTGGGTGGTGTGTGTGAGTCCCACTGTGCAGCCCCTCCCCCCACCCCCATCTGTTGTGACGCCTCGGGAGAGAGTCTCACTTGGCCTGAGTTTGGCATCTCGCTCGCATCTGCTCGTTCTCTCCAGCTCAGAGCTTTGCAGACCGGAGTATCTCCCCAGAATCTGAGGAATTAAAATTCGACTTAAAAAATTAACTTCAGAGGACTTAGAAGTTTTCCGTGTATTGATGTTTAGGGTCACCTGTGTTCACTGCACTAGCTTCCCATGAGCGGAGGTAGTATAATGTTTTCTTCTAAAAAAGTTTTAAGTTAAAAAGGAGTTAATTTGAAGGAGGAAACTTCTAAGCTGATGACAACACAGGTGTATTCAGGTGTCGCCGAGACTGTGGGACCAGCATGCAAATGACTTCGATCTATGAGAAGTGGGCTCACTCTCCCGGCCTGTCGTTCCCTGGAAGGCAGCAGGCCTTGCCAGTTAATTGCTGCTGGGGGCAGCTGAAGATCCAGGGTTATAAAGCCGCAGTTGCCAGCCCGGAGCGCTGTGGCCCGGCGGGGCTCAGGACAGCGGCCCGGCCCTTTCGTGGTGGACTCTGCATCTCCCTTCCCTCAGAGGGCTCTCTGCTCAGTGATGCTGCTTAAAAATACACAGCCTTTGGCATCTTTTTAAGAGCAATTGGTAATGATTATTTTGAAACTTTTCTAGGCTGATATCAGCATAACCAATGCTAATATCTTGGTCAGTGGCTTTCTCAATGATTTATTCATTCATTGACTTATTTTAATTTTTAAAAGCCTAAAGCAGTGCAGCCCACTGTTCAAAGGAAATCAGACACAGAGGTCAGCTCTGTGTGCCAGGTGGAAGGGAGGTGCCCTGGAGAAAGGGAGCCCGGCACCCAGCTGTTGCCCACCTGTGGCAGGGAGATGGGTCCCCGTTCGTCCCTTTACCCAGCGACATTGCCAAGTGCTTTGTGTGTCAAGCTCTGACCTGGGCTCTGGGGACACTCCAACTACTCGACTCTGCCACTGCAGCAGGAAGGCAGCTGTGGGTCATAAATGAGGGTCTCGGCTGCTCCAGTAGAACCTTACGCCCAGAACCAGCTGAGGGGCCGTCGTGATGCCTGCGGCTCAGGCCCCAGCCCAGTGGGGGACACGTGAGGGCGAGGTGTAACACCACGCTTGTCATTTGTGTGAAGGAAAAGGCACCAGGGACAGGAGAAGGTGCTGCTCTGTGGCAGGGGTGGCCCCACTCCCAGCAGCACCACCAGACCAGGTCCCATCCTAGTCGAGGCCTGTGCCTCCACCCCTCTCCACCCCAGCTGATGGTCAAAGCCTGTGGGAGATGCTGCCGTCTTCTCTTGTCAAAGCCCCCTGGTGTCTCCCTGAGGGCTATGATCAGTGGTTTTCACACTGCTCACCCCAGTGGCTGCTGGAAAGTGGGGAGGGCCAGGGAGGAGGGAAGAGAGCAGGTGGGGAGGGGACAAGGGGAGGGGAAGGGAGCAGGTGGGGAGGGGACGTGGAAGGGGAAGATAGCAGGTGGGGAGGGGAAAGGGGTGGGGGAAGGAAGCAGGGGGGAGGGGAAATGGGAGGGAGAGAGAGTGATGGGCCTCTGTGCCACATCCCCCCTAGGCACCCAGACAGGACCACTCTGCTTCCGTATGTCTCATATATTGGGCATCTGTGTAAGATTCTCTCCGGGGAAAGGGGTCCCCCAGGTCACACCTGAGAGTGCATCTCGGGCTCTCCCAGTTGGGTTCCCGGTCGGCCCCCAACACGGGTGCTTGCCCCCTGCATGTCAGCCTGCCCCGGGTCTCCAGGCTGGGCAGACCAGGGCTTTTCTTGAGCAGCTCCTCTGGTTTATCTCTTCGCATTGCATTCTGGGTCCTGTGGCCGGCACATTTCCTCCTCCTTTGAGTCACGTGGAAGCTCAGCTCCACCGCTGGTCCGCTCTGGTGCCCGTGCCTCCCTGTGCTCTTCTTGCCCGCAGCGTTGCTGTGGTAAAGTCCGTAATTTCCCGGCTCTGAGCTTCCTCAGTTGTCACATCTATACATTTATGCATCCTTTGCTTCCCTGTTCTAGGCTCTGGGGATGGAGGGACATCCAAATACAGCTTGGGGCTTTGCCCTTTGGAACTTTCAGGGTAATAAAAAAAGTCAAGCATTAGTCATCTTATCTGACAATTAAATGTGAACTTGCCAACTGAGGTGAAGTGCTGGGACGGGGAGACCCTGTGGCACCGTGAGGCCACATCCCAGTGGGATTCAGCCTCCTCAGGGAGGCCAGGCAATGCTTGCCTGAAGAAGATGCGTTTTAGCTGA